CAAGTAAAATTCATCGATCAAGATTCTCTCTAGCCTTGTTGAAGCTTTAGTCGCGCTTGGATGTCATTCTCCCATCTTCTCTTTTGTGAAAGACTGAATTGTAGCCCCAATTTTTGTCTTGATAGAGATTGATTTAGAAAAAGTTATCAGCAGATGAATTGTAGCCCTATTTATTATTTGTCCATATCTTCAAGAACCATCGAATTTTGACATCTATAGAGAAAGATATACCCAAAATACCAGACCCTTTTCAGAGTAAAATGGGAAACGAATCAGCACTCATACTTGGGTCATGGAACTTGGGCTTGGGTTTCTTGGACCTATGTTTGGGTTTTCCTCCATTAAATTATTAATTCTTCCAGCATAAAAATTGCACAAATAATAAAATTAACATTTATAAAATTATTATGAAAAAATATTACTTTTAAACTCTTTATTTTACAAATGTCAATTGTTGAGCACACTTTAGAAATACATTTTAATGCTTTCGTCACAACCCCCAACCAGCTTATTGCTAGTCCCTAGCAATTTAAGCACAAATGAAAAGACAAAGAATGATGATTAGCTTAAATGGGAATCTAGCAAAACCACCTAGGCATTTCAAGCAAAAAGGTCGGAAAAGACCACAGATGCTATCAAGATTACTTCAATTATAACTTCCAAAAGTGAATGTGTGTGAACTAAGCAAAATCTCCATACCACAAACCACAACACATATAGCCTTGAGAATTAATCAAAGTAAAAGCCTCAACTCCATATCCTTACAGGTAAACTATTTTAAGGCAAGGGATTTCTCTCATGTGAGTCTAGAAAAATGTGCGCTTAAACACAACAATTCTCTTAACTATATATATCGAACATCCATCTAACCACAAAGCTTAGTATTGTGCGCAAAAAGCTTTCAGAAGTTATTCTTTGATAACCAAGATAGAAAAAGTGACTTAAAACCAAACAATTTTGAAATCATACCTAGATAGAAAAGTAGAAAATCCAATCTAAGCTTCTCAAGCATGCAATGCAAACTTATTCACACAAAAACTACCAGAATAAAAACAATAAAAAAAGTGTTGATTGTCTTTCTTTCACACAAGAAGAATGTATATAAAAAATGTGCATAGAATGTGCATGCAATGCTACCACCTCCAACCTAAACGAGATAGTGTCATCACTGGCAGAAAAATAAAAGAAATAACAAAGCAAAGGATAGAGGACACCTGAACGATGGACTAAGACTAGACCTACAAATTTATCAACTAGAAGAAGGAAACAAAAAAACTAATAAAAGAAAAACTAAAACAAATGAAAGAAAAGAAAGAATAAAATGGTAGTGCAGAAAGATAGAACCTGATTAACCATTGTAGACTGGAGCTACAAGAGTGATCTCCTCAGGTTGGTCTACCCTCTCCACATAATGCTTCAACCGTTGTCCATTAACTCAGAAAAATCTCCCATCGCTTGGATCCTCAATCTCAACAGCACCGTTGGGAAAGACTCGCTTCACCACAAATGGACATGTCCATCTAGATCTCAGCTTTCCTGGGTAGAGATGCAAACGGGAATCATAAAGTTGGTTTGGCTCAAATCTTCCTTAGGATCTGTTTATCATGAGCCGCTTTTAGTTTAGCCTTGTATCCTAGAATTATTATATGCATCGTTCCTTAGTTCTTCTATCTTTGACAACTGTAACTTCCTTTGAATACATGAAGACTCCATGAAATGGCATTTCTCCCAGTTAAGCACAAGTCTTTTTTCTTTACACCTAGTCAAAACCGCTTTCTAGTTAAGTAAGCATGAATAAAAAGAATCGCAAAAAATAGTCAAATCATCCATAAAAGCTTCCATTCATTTTTCAACCATATTAGAAAACACACTAAGCATGCAATGTTGAAAAGTAGCTTTTGCATTACATAAACCAAATGGCATCCTACGGAAAGCATAAGTACCAAAAGGACATGTAAAAGTAGTCTTGTCCTAATCTTCTAAAGCTATCTCAATCTGATAATACCCTGAATAACCATCAAGAAAGCAATAGAAAGGATGGCCAGCCACACATTCTAAGATTTGGTCAACAAATGGCAATGGAAAATAGTCTTTCTGGGTGGCTGCGTTAAATTTCCTATAGTCAATGCACATGTGCCACCCAATCACTACCCTAGTAGGAACAAGAACTCCTTCCTCATTTTCAACTACTGTGACCCCTGATTTCTTTGGCACAACCTCTGTAGGACTAACCCATTTACTGTCAAATATAGGATATATGATTCCTGCGTCTTAACAATTTTAAGACCTCATTTTTTAACAACTTCTTTCATTATTGGGTTCAATCTTCTTTGGGGGTCTCACGTAGGGTAGTTCATTCTTCTAAATGAATCCTATGGGAATATATCAGTAGCCTTATAACTTTAATGTCAGCTATGGTCCAACCTAGTGCAAATTTATGTTCTCTTAACAGATTTATCAATTTCTCATCCTACTCAGCACTAAGTTTAAAAGATATTATAACAGGAAAGGTATCACTTGGTCTCAAAAATGCATGTTTCGATCCTTCAGGGAGTGGGGATAACTCTACTTTTGGTGTCTCCATAGAAGATGGCTTCGGCTGGTCTCTCTTATGCGGCAACTCCTCAAAGCGTGGTTGCCAAAACTTCTTCTGCTTATCCTACATGTCAATTGAAATAGAGGAAACATTAGAAACATCATTAACAGGATAAAACAAAAAATTCAGAATTCGAATTAGAATCACAAAGGAGATATTCTAAAGATTCAAAATTTTCCCTTTCATCTACTTCCTCTGCAATGAGAGAGTCTATCATGTATGTATGGTAGCACTCGTCCCAACATGAAAAATATTCACCTCAATAGGGGTGTCAATGGACCGGTTTCGGGTTGGACACCATCTGAATCGGAAGTGATACGGAGGAATTGGACGGTCCTAAAAATGATATGGATGCAGACCAGTCCGAATATGAATAGTCCATATATAGTACGGACCGAATATGGACTAAACCTTTGAATCAAATGGTCCGTTCATTCGTTTGAAGTTCTCTCCCAAATTTTCTTTGAAGACCTAGCGCTCTATGCCAATACACCTCCACCGCTCTCCAGCAATCGAACGAAGAAGAAGGTTTCTCTCCGACGGTGGTATTCCTCGAACTCCGATAATACTTCTAGCGGTGGTTTCTCTCCGGTGGTGGTGTTTCTCTCCGGCGATGGTATCTCTCCAGTTCTTTTCTCTCGTCTCTCTTTAGCGAATAGCGATGGTGAACATCATTCCATCGTTCTAGTGTTATCCAGCGACCGACAACACTCCCCAGTCTCTCTGGTGGTTATCTATCTCATCTCTTCCTCTCTCTTTATCCAGCGGTAGACTCCTTGCTCGTTCAGGTATTTCCTCTCTCTTCTGTCATTTCAAACATTTTAGTTTTGTATTGTTTTTGGTTTAAGAGTAAGACTATAATATAAGAAATAGTTATTGATCTATTTTTTGTTTTGGGTTCAGGAACTCTCCACTTGAGTCCCCCCCAAATTTTCTGAGATAAAATAAGAAATAGTTTTTTTCCACAATGGACTTTCTAAGTGCAAATGAATGCTTCCTGAGCCATACTTTTGGTATTTGATTATACAAGCATTATGTGTTTTTGAGTATTAAGTATTTTTTTTTTGTTGATCTTATCACATTTTGCATATCTAGACACAATAGTAATTTTTATTATTTTAAGGTGTTAGCAATAGCTGGAAGTCTGGAACCAGGCCTATCATTTCATTCTGATCRTTTTGCATCTAATTCTTTTTTAGTTTCATCGATTAATTCAATGGAACCAGTCATGCCATTATGGGGTCCTACATGTATTGAAGAGGTTTAAGCATATTTCATGAATTTTTTACCATCCTCCCTATTTTGTTTGCTTTGTTTAACAAATTTGAAACTCATTGGAAATAACTGATCTTATTTATATTTATTACTTACTAGTGATAAAGTTGTAAGTGTTATCATATGAATTTCATTAGACTTTCTTGTTGTTCATGTTAGTGTGCAAATTAATTTATTTTTTTCTTAATGCATTAAGGATGGATGAAGCAAGTGTTGAAAATGCAAAAGTGCCTAAAAACCTAAGTGAAATCTATGGCATCTAGCTCTACTAGAAAGAGGGTTAGGTCCAAAGCATGGGAGCATTTTAAGAAAATAAATTTGGACTCTAGGGAGCAGAGAGCTATTTGTAAACATTGTGGAAAATAGTATATAGGTGGAAGTTCTATAGGAACGAGCCACCTTTTAGGGCATGTACCAAAGTCCTAAATTAAAACAAATGGGCACAAGTGAACAAGAAGTTGTAGAAAACTTCAAATTTGACCAAGATAGGAGCCGAATGGACTTAGCAAAGATGATAATAAGGCATGGGCATCCTTTTAGTATAGTTGAAGAAGAGTTTTTTTTAGATATTTGTCAATAATCTTCAACCATTATTTAGGCTTGTTTCTCGAAATACAATAAAGAATGATGTCATGAAGATTTACTTGGATGAAAAAGAGAAATTGTACAAATACTTTGATGGTTTGGATTGTAGGATTAGCTTAACCACTGATATGTGGACTTCGGAACAAAATTTGGGGTATTGTTGTTTAACAACATACTTTATAGATGATGGGTGAGAGCTGAAAAAGAAAATTATTGCATTTGTGGCAATTGAGTGTCCCCATGATGGAAACACTTTGTATGAAGTCGTTATGGAGAGGTTGTTAATTTGGAACATTGATAAAAAAATGTTCTATAACAGTTGACAATGCCTCTAACAATGATGTTATGGTTAGGGAGCTCAAGAATCGGCTTTGTGTTAAAGGGCTCCCATTGCATGGTGATCTATTTCATGTGAGATGTGCTGCTCACATCTTGAACCTTATTGTGCAAAATGGGTTGAGAGAAATATCACCATTGTTATATAAGATTCGAGAAAGTGCTAAATATGTAAGGTTGACACCCTATAAGAAGCAAAAATTTGACAATGCAAGAAGCCAAGCAAAAGTACAACATAAGAGGGGTGGTTGTTGATTGTCCAACGCGATGGAACTCCACATATGATATATCGGACACGGCTTTAGAGTTGAAGGAAGCATTTTGTCGACTAGCTGAGCTTGACCATGACTATAAGAATCTATCATCTGATGAGGAATGGGAAATGGGGACAGTAGTACGGGATTGTTTGCAAGTTTTTTACATCTGCACAAAAAACTTCTCCAACCTCAAATGTATTTTTTCCCGATATTTGCACAATTAAGCTTTTGTTGCTTCAGTGGCTAGATAATGAATATGAGTATGTTTGTTCAATGACAAATAGAATGAAGCAAAATTTTGATAAATATTGGGATGAATGTTCTTTGGTGCTTGCAATTGCCGTTGTTCCTGATCCTAGGTTTAAGATGGAGATTGTTACATATTACTATAATCTCATTTATGGAGAGATTGTTGAGAGGCATGTTACAAGAGTTAGGGAGGCAGTAAATGACCTATATTCAGAGTATGCGGGTTTTGATATAGAGGACATGTCACTTATAGACTCTAGTGTTGCATTTCAGCCATTGAGGATTCATGGTGTTGTAGATTTTTTGAGAGGTTTTGATCAGTGGTTGACTGAAGAGCATCCGGAATGTAATCTAGGGACTCAAAATTCAGAGTTGGATCTTTATCTTGAAGAAAAACTATTTCCTACAGGTGAAGAGCATGATATTTTGAGATTCTGGCGAGTTGATGGTCTCAAGTTTCCAAAACTCTCTAGATGGGCACGAGATATTTTGGCAATTCCAGTATCCACTATAGCATCCGAGGGAACATTCAGTATTGGGGGCAGAATAGTGGATTAGTATCGTACTTCATTACTTCCAGAGACTGTGGAGGCTTTGGTTTGTGGGCAAGACTGGTTAGAAGCTCCAATTACAAAAAGTAAGTTAAAAACTGAATCTTAAAGAGTTGTTATATTTCCTATATGTTTCTATTTATTTATATGCTTTTTCTTTCTAATATGTGTTTTTAGTTGTGTATTATTATTTTTAGAATTGGATCTTGAAGCTGCCGCTGCCTCTCCTATATGTGTGGCTTCTACAACTGACACTAACCGAACATGTAAGTTATGGCAAATGGTCTATAAATAAATTATTGATTTGCAAAATGTTTGTCTTTATGTAATTTAACTAAGCAAATGTTTTTGTTTCAGGATATTGGAGCATATGCCATGCATCTAGTTTGGACATTTTTGCTTCACAGGTATTTTTTTTATAAAATATTTGCTTATAAAATTTGGATTCGATTGGACTTACTCTATTTGTAATGATTTATATTGGTAGAAGATAAGTTTGGGGTTGTCAATGGACCATCCGACCATGATTGGGTTGGAGTGTTGGACATAATCTGAATTGAATTAAAACCAATTTGAACATGTTGAACAGTCCAGTAAGACAGTGGATTGGACTAGTCCAATCTGGTCCAGATTGAACAATCCAATAACACAGTGGATTGGCCAGTCCAATCCAGTCCAGATTGATCAGTCCAATATGACAGTGGATTGGACCAGTCCAATCTAGTCCAGGTTGAACAGTCCAATAAGACAGTGGATTAAACCAATCTAATCTAGTCCAAGTTGAACAGTCCAATAAGACAGTGGATTGGACCAGTCCAATCCAGTCCAGGTTGATCAGTCCAATAAGACAGTGGATTGGACCAGTCCAATCTAGTCCAAGTTGAACAGTCCAGTAAGACAGTGGATTGGAACAGTCCAATCCGGTCCAGGTTGATCAGTCCAATAAGTTGTTGTGTCTCTCTTTTGCTTCTTAACTTTGCAAGTTAAGAGCAGCAACAATATGACAGATCAGTAGGTTACGACGACCAGTTTCAAGCTCAACTGCTCAAGGACCCTTCTGTTTCCTATGGATTGTTTCCCATTGGTACCATTACTTCCCCATCCTTTACCATAGCAACAATTGCTTCGTTTAATGATGTTATCAGGACACCAACCTACTACAACCACTATTAGACCTTAATCCATTAGAACAATGCACCAAGTTAGATGACCAAGAAACCAATTTCTCCAAATTTCCTTCAAGCTTTCATTTGATGCCAGTTCGATCATATGAATCACTTGATGCAGAGCCTAGTGCTACCATCACAACAAACCCCACTGTCCAAAATGCTTCGCCTGATCTAGAGCTCACACTTTCTATCCGGAGGCCACTGGATCAGGGTAAATCGTCCTCAGGTCCCCTTTTTAATCGAACCCATTAGTGTGATCTAGCTCCAGCTAGTAGAATGCCAGAATCCATGAGTGAATAGTTGCCATTATCAGTGTTATTCCTTTTTGAGCTGAAACGGAGAATGGAACATGTGATCAATTGAAGGTGGACATTTTTAATGTCTTTTGCACTCAACGACATTGTTATTATTGTACTCTCAGAATGTTCCAAAAGAAAATAGTCTTGTTATCTAAATGAGCAGACTGTGTTGATGACACTTTAATGGGAGTAGCTAGATCTTATCAAGGAAAGAGAGTTCCTCTATATATGGGTAATTAAATTGATCTACATGTCATGAGAACCAACAATTTGATGCAATCGTGATGTTTTTGTGCTCCATTCACGTTTCTGTTCATTGACTGAAACAACCAAAAAACAAAACAGATGTAAGAGATGCAAAACTTTAGCAACTACCACCACAGGAAATCTCAATACCTAACTGCTTTTCTGTCTTCCCCACTTTACCTTCAATTTGAAGCTTAAAGAACATAGCAGATTCAATTCCTTTAAAGTTCTAGTTGCATCAATAAAGGTATCCATGGAAAATTAGGACCAGGAAATATTTTTATCTTATGCTTTTTCTGTTCTTTCATTCAATCAATCCATCCGAGTTGAACATGCCAACTTAATCAGTTGCAAAAGTATCCTAAATACACGGATTTGAAAATACTATGCCCTGAAATTTATCCAAACATAACCTTAATTTTTTATATACAAAAGTTCTGATCAAGGCAGTATTATTGCCAAATTGTCTAAGACTTCATGCTTGTTTCAGGTATTTTTCTTTTCTACTTTGTTGTTTACAGTCTTATACATCTCTATGAAACTCTTAAAACTGCAGCAAATACTCATAGAATGCTTGGACTACAAAAGAGCCACTTGTCCAAGCTTTCAGGTTACATCTAGAGTCTAAACCTTAACCAGATTCCACATGTATTTGGTTATTGCTCAAGCTGCTGTAAAAGAAATTTGCTACTTGGTCAGAAATCCACCAAACTTATCAAAGAAAGTTTCTTACATATATTGGAAGAAAACCAACTTCAAACAATTTTTGTTATGAACAAATGAAACAAAAGCTAGAATGCAGTAATAAATCAAAACAAAACATGAGGATTTATGTTTTTCAACCTCAGAGTTGTAGATTATTTTATTGGGATATCTGATGAAATTTGTATCCACTCAATGGAATCAATAAATATTTCAGTTGCAGGTATCTAATTGTAATGATACCTTACAATAAACATCATTCTTTGATGGAAATCAATGGAATCAATGGAATAAATATTTCAATGGAATCAATGGAATCAATGATGGAAATCATCATTCTTTGATCGATTCCAAATGTCAGTACAATAAACACTTATTAAGGAGTTGAAGATGATACCTCATAACCCCACCATGTGAGCTGCATGTCATATGGGAAATTGTGGCCTTGTGAGTCCACCATCCATACAACATTTGATATGGGCACACCTTCCCTCATTACACCACTGCTCATTTTGCTGGACCAATTAAACAGTGTATTTATTTATCCTATTTATAGAATGCATTGTAATGTATTATTAGTAGGTTAATTTGCCTTTGGGTTCTCCCTTTCAATTTATGTTTTTATTGACTTGTAATCTTTCACATTGTCAGAATATTGTGGCAACCATCATGCCAGAAGATTATCAACACAAAAAGGTATTTCTATGCAATCCCCACTTCTTGACTTTTAAATTATTTATTGAATTCGATTTTTCCTAGCCCTTCATTCAGAACAGATGTCAAAGCAACCCCACGTTTCATATCTCATAGACATGAAGCATGAATCTCTACATCTTCTCTTTCTCAAGGCCCATCCAGACATTGGTCCCTCCCCCATTCCCCATGAAATCAGAAAGCAACAGCACAAACTCATCAGCCCCACTCACAATCGGCTCACAATGAATGAGTTTTCCATAGCCGAAGTTGAGATCATGGAAAGGCAGTTTCCACCAAGCTGACAAATAGAAATTTCCATTTATGGTTGCAGGAACTCCTTTATAGATCTCTAACCAGTCTATCACTGACCTCACGTAGTCATCTGACACTCTGTATATTACTGCTCCACACAGAAGGAGAATGGCTTCTCAGCCAGATCCACCACCTTTGCACTGGCAAAAGCTGTGACAAGAGCATTTCCTGTGAACCCATGTGGTAAAGGGGGAGATATCTTGGACCTTATGTCCACTGCAAACAGAACGGTTGAAGTCTCATCTGGGTCATCAAACACTGCTTTGGATCTTGCTCTCCATAGGTGAGCTACAATGGCCTCAAAGTTTGAACACTTGGCCATGGCCTTGCCTTTGAGGATGCTGAGCATGCTAGAGGAAAAACAGAAGAGCTTGTGACTGTACTTGCTGGAGAACTGTAAGTCGGGTGCATTGGTTGGGAGAGGAGAATGAGGAAGTTACTGAAGCTATCTCTAACTTCTTTGTGTACTCAATATGTGGGTATTTGATCAGAGGTGGATTTCCTGCTTTCAGGCATGTTCTGTCGTTGTAGATGGCTTGGGTATTCAGGCCTTTGCCACTGCAAATGGATGTTTTTGCCTTTGTGGTGACATCTTTCACTCAAAACTGGTGGACTTGTGAATGGCCAGATTAATTGTCTTAAAACTGTTTAGTAACTGTACATATGCATTGACAACATTTTGTTTATTTCCTGAGAAATTAGGAAAATAATTTATTCTTTATTGAGTATTATTTTCTAAGGAAAACATTTTGTTTTTCTTCATTATTTTAGTTGAACCAAAATATTTTATAGGGAAAATGTTTTCTAAGGAAAACATTTAATTTGGACCAGATTGGGTCCAATCTGGTCCATTTGCATTTCAATTGGACCGGATTGGATCCGGTTTGTATGAGGTTTGGACCGGATTTGGTCCAGTCCATTTGTAAACGGTCTTCCTAAAATAAGCAGAATCTTCAACTTACTGTCAACCACAGATTGAGTATCTAAAACTAGAAAATCAACAAGATAATAGAATTTATCAATCTGAAGCAAAACGTCTTCCACTATCCCCATCGGTTTCTGAATAGAATGGTCAGCCAGTTGTAACACCACGAATGTGGGTTTTATCTCTCCAAGACCTAATTGCAAGTAAACTGAATAAGGCATTAAATTTACACTTGCTCCTAAGTCCAAGAGAGCTTGACCGAACTCTTGTGTCCCAATATGGCAAGCAATTGTGGGGCACCCAGGATCTTTGTACTTTGGTGGTGTTCTCTGCTTAATCACCGCACTTACCTGTTCTGTCAAAAATGCAACTTTCTTAACATGGTGCCTCCTTTTCATGGTGCATAGATCCTTTATCACCTTGGCATAAGTGGTACTTGCTTAATCACATGCAACAAAGGTAGATTAATCTTAACTTCTTTCAAATGTTCCAAAATCTCATCTTGGTTGTCTGGAAATTTTCCTCCAGATCTGAGAGTTTGGGGAAAAGGCACTTAGATCATAACCTCGTTTTTAGGCTCTTTTGAGGGGGCATCTTCAGTGCTGCTTGGAGTGGTGACATTTGTGCGAGGTGGAGTCGACAAAGGCCCATCTAAAACCTTACCACTATGAGTAGTGATGGCGTGAACTCCCTTGATGTTCTCCGGATCAGAGGTGGATTCATGTACCATATGTGACCCCTTTGGATTGGTTTGAGGCTGAGACGGAATTTTGCCTCTCTCTTGTACAGTAAGAGCATTGGTTAGCTTAGTTATCTAGCTCTTGATATCCTTGTTCTCTTCAACCACCTGTGCAAGAATAGATTCAAACTTTTGCTCAGTCTTATTCTGTGCATGCTTGAAGTGTTTCCTCTAAAGGATTCCTATTCAGTTGAGCATTGTATTGAGGTACAGGATGAAATCGGGATGGTTGCGCCTCTACACTCCAATTATTGTTGGACAAAGTGGGTTGGTTCTGATCAGCCTTCCAACTAAAATTGGGATGGTTCCTCCAGGTAGGATTATAGGTCTCTGAATAGGGTGAGAAAGGTTTTCTATACAATCCTAAGGCATTACACTGTTCTTCATAAACCTCTCTCATCTCACCATAGGTTGGGAAATTTTGAGCTAAGTGATCCAATCCCCCACAGACAAAACATGAAGTTTAAGTTTCTACCTTGGCAATCGTGTGGGTGACTTTATTATTTCTCTTCTTTAAGGCCTCAAGTTCTCTAGTTACAACTTTTAATTGGGTTTTGAGGTTGTCTTCCTCCTTAAGATGGTAAATCCCGGTTGGACGTGACCTATTAGTACTATCAGTAGCACTAGGCCCAGTCCACATGTGGGCTTTCTCAGCTAACTCATTCAGGAATCTATGGCTTCTTCAGGATCCTTTTGTAGAAACTCCCCATTACACATCATCTCTATGAATTGGCGCTCCCTGCTGGTTAAACCCACATAGAAATAGCTAACTAACCTCCAACTTTCGTACCAATGGTGTAGACACAGGTTTTGTAGCTCTTTGAATCTCTCACAGGCTTGGTATAAGGTTTCATTATCCTTTTGAGAAAAGGTTTAGATCTATCTCTTAAGATTGTTGGTCTTATGGTGCGGGAAGTACTTGTTAAAGAAAAAGATTGGGTCATTTCCGCCCATGTACCTATGGATCTCGGTCTTAAAGAGTATAGCCAACTCTTAGCTCTCTCTTTCAGGGAAAAAGGGAAAAATTTCAGCCTAACAATGTCTGCAATATCAGCTCGGTTATGGAAGGTGGCCACTACCTCTTCAAATTCCCTAATATGCACATATGGATTCCCACTGTCTAAACCATGGAAATTAGGCAAGAGTTGAATCATTCCAGGTTTGAACTCAAATTGTGGTGTATAACATGATGCATGATGGTGTGGCTATCCGGGTGGGGTGCAGGTAGTCTTTTAAAGACCTAACAGGGTTGTCCTCATGTTGACTCATGGTTTTAGAATCAGAGGACGAATTAGATGCTAATTCTTCTTCAGGGAGTGGTGGTGGGTCTATTCGTATATGTCTAGTGAATCTCCATCTTTTGTCCCTTAGTCTATTCATACACCCTAAGCTCCTATTTTTTTTTAGCTTACAAAAAGAAGAAAAGGAAAATGAGATCAAGAAAATAAAATGAAACTAAAGAAAATGAAACAAACAAAGGAAATAAAAGAGAAGTAAAGAATGTTCAAACTCAGTTGTTGGTTTGGCTTCCTCGGCAACGGCGCCAAATTTTGTGTCTCGCCCAAAATTATTACTCTTAGATAAGTGGTCGTTGAAGCGTAACTTTAGGTGTCGAATCCACAAAGAAGCTAATTAAACCAACAAAATGAGTTATCGCTAAGTGTAAATAACCTAAAATAAAATGATTTTCTAAAAATAGGAATAAAAATATTTGAATAAAAGTAACAATGATTAAAAGATGAAAAGTAGTATTGTGATGAACAAGGCTTCGAGATTCACTTGATCGATTTGTTCAATTGTTCTCGACTTTGACTCCTATTTATTACTCAGCAAGTTTCACATCCCAAACAAACAATCGGAAAATATCTTTAAAATCAACGACAAGAACAAAAGTATTTGTTCTGAGAAAATTAATTTTCAATGAAGAACATAATGATCTATTCTTACAAGCTATCCAAGAACTATAATATATCCAACTGACAGTATTGTAGTAAAGGATCAACCCATAAAATAAATATACCCAATCAATTATTTTCTARCAAATTGCACATAAAAAGAGCATGACTAATTTTATATGGAAATTGAAGAATATAACTTCTGGGTTTATCAAATAAAAAAATTAATAAAAGAAACTTCTCAAGAACAAAATTAAACAATGAAATCTCTTAAGGAATCAAAGTAAAATAACAAGTAAAACTCATCGATCAAGATCCTCTCTARCCTTGTTGAAGCTTTAGCCACGCTTGGACATCATTCTCCCATCTTCTCTTCTGTGAAAAACTGAGAAAATAATGCAAAAATAACCTCTGGTAGTTGTCCCCCTTTTTGGTCAGATTTTTCCTTTTTATTGTGCAGCCAGGCTTCTCAATCTGCTCAGCCCAGACCCATGTCTTACCCCCCAATTTTCGCCCCGATAGAGATTGATTTAGAAAATGTTATTACCAGATGAATTGTAGTCCTATCTCTTAGCTGTCCATATCTTCAAGAATCATCAAATTTTGACATCTGTAGAGGAAGATATGCCCAAAATACCGGAACTTGGGAAACGATTCAGCACTCATACTTGGGTCATGGAACTTGGGCTTGGGTTTCTTGGACCTATGTTTGGGCTTTCTTCTATTCAATTATTAATTCTTCCAGCATAAAAATTGCATAAATTATAAAATTAACATTTATAAAATTATTATGGAAAAATATTACTTTTAAGCTCTTTATTTTACAATTGCCAAATGTTGATCACACTTTAGATATACATTTTCATGCTTTCGTCACTTTGTAGTTTGGTTCAGCTTTAGGATAGCAAAGATTTTATATGCACAGATTATTACAAGAAAACATTATCATGAGGGCAGATTTGGCCCACCAGTGAAATTGCGACACGTGGCACCTCGTGACAACTAGGCAAGCCCCCAGGCAACAACTTACCAAGTTGGTCCCCCCCCCGGCACCGGTCTAGCTGGCCTGGCGCGACCTGGTGCG